CAAAGTGCAGGACAAGACATTCCATCAGAACGTATCGGCCAGCTAAATATTCCTACTTACATTTTGGAAGCAAATACATTTCATTTAGATAAAAGATGAGACATAATAATTATAATCAGAAGATAATATTAACAGAATAAATAGCAGAGGAATACTGCAGATTAAATAATGCTGTAACTGAAAATTGTACACCCAATGTAGGCTACTTCCCCTTTAAGAACTAGCATTGATTTTATACCCTTATATGCGATTCCAACTAAATATGTTGTCTTCTCACACTATTCAAACCCCACCAACAGCTTACGAACCTCTTAGCCTAAAGATCACATATTGCAAACAAAAAATCTTAACAGGCTAAAACACATACACTACGTAACCAAAAGGATGTGGACACCTGCTTGTCAAACATCTCATTCCAAAATCATGGAGTGTAAGTGTTTGTCATGCTGAAACAGGAAAGGGCCTTCCCCAAACTGTTGCCACAAAGTTGGAAGCACAGAATTGTCTAGAATGTCATTGTACGCTGCAGCGTTAAGATTTCCCTTCACTGGAACCATGAAAAACAGCAAGCACCATTGCAAGCACTTTGAGGGGTCTGAGTTCCTTTGGAGTGTTCACACTGCACAAAAAATTAAGCGAACCGCACAGAGTTCACAAATTGTCAGCAGTTTAACCTGGAAAAGAAACACTCTGCCATCAATCACAACACTTGGGATGTAGCATTTCTGACCAATGCAGTGGCAACACTAAGCATCTTCATTTTGAGAATCATTCAAGCTCAAAATTATGTGAAAAAGCTGATCCTGATGTAACAGTGTTGCTTCCGTCCCTCTCCTCGCCCCTACCTGGGCTTGAACCAGGGACCCTCTGCACACATCGACAACAGTCACCCTCGAAGCACCGTTACCCGTCGCTCCACAAAAGCCGCGGCCCTTGCAGAGCAAGGGAAACAACTACTTCGAGGTCTCAGAGCGAGTGACGTCACCGATTGAAACGCTATTAGTGCGCAGCGCTAACTAGCTAGCCATTTCACACCGGTTACACTCACCCCCCATTTGACCTCCTCCTTTTCCACAGCAACCAGTGATCCGGGTCAACAGCATCAATGTAACAGTGTTGCTTCCGTCCCTCTCCTCGCCCCTACCTGGGCTTGAACCAGGGACCCTCTGCACACATCGACAACAGTCACCCTTCGAAGCACCGTTACCCGTCGCTCCACAAAAGCCACGGCCCTTGCAGAGCAAGGGAAACAACTACTTCAAGGTCTCAGAGCGAGTGACGTCACCGATTGAAACGCTATTAGTGCGCACCGCTAACTAGCTAGCCATTTCACACCGATTACACTGACATCCACACAAAACAATGCACGTCCCATCAATGAATGTAAAGTCAGTATTTTACAATTGGCTACCGATCACGCCTACACCTTGGCAAAGCATCCCAAAATCTTTGGGTTAGTTATAATATAAAAATCTTTGGCATCCATGTAGCCAGCAGATCTGACCCGCTTTCTTACAGCTGCACTAGGGTCGTAGAGCATTGCTGTGTATATTAAGACACCGCAAAGCCGGTGCGAGACATGGCTCAGAAAACGTACCTCAGTCCAGGGATGAGAAATGCGTTGTACTCCAAATTGTCCATTATCCCAAATGAAATGTTAACCCGAGAAGATCGAACGAGTGCTAGCTTTTAATTAAACTGCTGTTTTCGTCCTCATGCTAGCTAGCAGTAGCATCAGCAGCCATTATGGAATGGCATGTAGGGTTGAACAACAAATGAGCTGATTGGCTGACATTGACATTCCAAAAATGGCTGCTGTTACCTAGTATGAGGATGAAAAGGCCAGTTTTCCAGAAAAACTAGTAGTCTTTCAATCTTCTTGATGTAACAGTTAGAATAATGGGCCAATTCGGAGTACAACGCATTTCTCATCCCTGAATTGAGGTACATTTTCCGAGCCATAGCTTGCGCCGGCTCAGTGGTGTCTTAATATACACAGGAATGCTGTCTGACCCTGATGAAAATGTAAGCAAGCGGGACGGATCTGCTGGCTAGCATCCATGCAGCCTTCACAACTGGGTATCACACTATTATTTCTGATGGTAAACCCTAACAATAACCCTTACCTAACCCAACCCCTTTTAAATGTCTACTTCAATTGGGTGACGTCAGAGTTGGGACGTCACAAGGATCCATTTAGACTTCCTCTTTCTGATACATGTCGCGAGCGCTCGCGTCACTCGATGCACTTGCATGACAACATCAGCAGTTGCATCTAAGTGTATAATCAGTGGTGAGGTGGCAAAACATCACATAACACACAGTAGAGTGAAACTGAGCGAAAGCTAGAGAGGAATTGCTAGCTATAACGTTAGACTGCCATAACTACCTCTTTGACTGGGGGAAATTTCTTCTTGCATTCCATGGACAGGGACCGCAGATCCGTCTGCATGTTCTCGAGTAATTTCTTCACCGCTTCTGGACTACTAGTCGACATTTTGGATTATGTATTCGGCCCAAATATCAAAGCTTGAAATAATAATAAATGCAATCCTAGGATACTGGTCCCCGGCCTACTTATTCAGCTCCTTTGAATAAGGAAAAAGAAAAACGCTGTGGACCTCAGCAAGCGTCCACTGACACAAGTCAATATTCCAGTTTTCTACTTTGCCAATACAGAATCGAAGGGATGCAAGCTTGTCCACAACAAAAAAGCCTAGACGGTGGTGTCATACATTATCATCATTAGCACAATTCTAGCTACTGGTGACATTTATGTGGTTAATTTTTCTCAGTTTCCCGGCTCCAGCAGTCACCATTGCAAGCACCGTTTCGATCCCACAATGCTTTGGTAGACATTGGGAAGATCTCAATTGTATTCTCCTTGCGCCTCTCTCCTCTCTCCTCGCTCATCGTCTCCTTTTCAAAACCCATTGGAGGAGAAGGTCAGAGGGGCGGGACCTCTGGCTTTCTCATCCAATGTTTTTTTTGAAGCAGACGAGTAGCGAGGACGTGAGGAGATACAATTGAGATTTTTCCATTGACACGTCACTTGCACTTCCGTAAACATGCGGATTCCAGCAGAATGATTCCAGCGTCCTCTAGTGGAGTAATGCAAACAAATTGATGTAGTATTTTATAAAGGCAATGTACAGGTAACTGCATAAATAAATGAGGGATACATGAGGGATACAAAGTATATTGAAAGCAGGTGCTTCCACACAGGTGTGGTTCCTGAGTTAATTAAGCAATTAACATCCCATCATGCTTAGTGTCATGGGGCGGCAGGTAGCTTAGTGGTTAAGAGCGTTGTGCCAGTAACCGAAAGGTCGCTGGTTCTAATCCCCCAGCCAACTAGGTGAAAAATCTGTCGATGTGCCCTTGAGCAAGGCACTTAACCCTAATTGCTCCTGTAAGTCGCTCTGGATAAGAGCGTCTGCTAAATGACTCAAATGTAAATGTAAATGTATAAAAATGACCAGTTGCCCATTATTTTGGCTACCATGGTTAGAAGAAGAGAACTCAGTGATGTTGAAAGAGGGGTCTCAAAGGAGCGTAGAGGGTTTAAAGGGTGTGTGGGTGTCTCTCTCTCTCTCTCTCTCTCTCTCTCTCTCTCTCTCTCTCTCTCTCTCTCTCTCTCTCAGTCACCAGATCTCAACCCAATTGTACACTTATGGGATATTCTGGAGAGGCGACTGAGACAGAATTTTCCACCATAAATCAACAAAACAACAAATGATGGATAATTTCTCATGGAAGAATGGTGTTGCATCCCTCCAATAGAGTTCCAGAAACGTGTAGAATCAATGCCAAGGCACGTTGAAGCTGTTCTGGCGGCTCGTGGTGGCCCAACGCCCTATCAAGACACTTTATGTTGGTGTTTCCTTTATTTTGGAAGTTACCTGTATGCGCTCAATAGTAAACACATACTGTAGCATGACATGTTTAAAGATTTCTTTAGAGGAAAAATTAAAGGCCTCAAAATAATTTCAGTTGGGTTATTGACATACTCAGGTCTTTTGATGATGATACTCTGCTTCCATCTGCTGGCCATTAGGATGCATAGTCGCTCTCTCTCTCTTTCTCTCTGTCTTCAAATATCTTGTTGGGAAAAAATGACATGACATGACACATATTTCTTTCAAAACGTTTAATATAAATGTTTTTCTTTTACAATGTCAGTTGTAATGATACATGTGAACGGTATTCAGCTTTGCACTTCACTAGATATGTCCTTGGCAATACTGACGAACACATACTGGAAGTGTAAGAGCTTATACTTTTCAAAGTTGTTATTGTATGCTATGGCAAAGTAGATGATGATAGAATTAATTCATGAATAGACAACAATACAAGCAAATAACAAAGACTATCTGAGACATTTCATTTTTCCAAGGTAAAATGTATGAAACTCAATAAAAGTATTTCTCTCTGGCTTCTCACCTCTAAGCTACTCACTATGATGGTATACTGTAGTGTACTGTACAATGATTTCCAATGCCAAAATTCTGTACAACAAAAATATATTGAACACAATCCATACTTTCACTAGTTTTTAAACTATGTTTATCATGTGCTTTATCACATTTTGGACTTGGTAAACAGTTTAGAAATATATATATACGATTGTATACAGTTTTTAAAAAATCAAGCCTAGGATGAGAGCAATGCAAATATCCTGGTTTTACATTTCAAAGTTCTTAAAAAACCTAACATAAGACTACCCACTCGGCAAAAAATGATTGAATCAACGTTGTTTCCACATAATTTCAACCCACAAAATGTATGTGATGATGTTAAATCAACGTGGAAAACTAATTGGATTTGCAAAAAGTAATCAACGTAGAGGCATTTTGTCTTTGTTTCACCCAACTTTTAACCTAAATCCAATGACATGGTGAAAATTGTTGTTGATTTCATGTTGAATTCATGTTAGGTGACAACTCAACCAAATGTAAATCAAAACTAGACGTTGGACTGACGTCTGTGCCCAGTGGGTATGATTAAAATGCTAATACACAATGATTATATGTCCAAGTAAGCTTTTGAATCAAGAGCAATACATTTACAGTAAATCCGACTTAATCCTACTCTCAAACAACAACCTTAGGCTAACAAAGCCTATTCAGTCTGTCTTCTACAGGTTTATTTTACGCCTGCTATGTTAGGTTACTACAATAGAGACAGAGACTTGGGCTTCAGATTTATTTTTGATGCAAGTTTTCTGACATAAGTCTGGATATTAAACTGTATAAGTTGTGTGTAACATATTGGCACATGACAATATATGAATCTGAAGTCATAGTTTTCTGATGAAATAAAATGATACATTGAATTCTTGTTAAATTCTGCATTGCTTCTTGTAACCACAATGACATGGTGCTTTTAGTTGGCATGCGGTTATCTGATTCCTTTTTTTGTTGTCTAAAAATATTGTCAGCTAAGGTTTAGCACATCGGGGGAAATTAACAAACATATTGATTAGATTGATGTATTTACAACATCAACTGATATGACAGTAGCAAGTTCGACATAATGCACTAAAATAATACTTAATCACAGTGACTCTCACAGCTGAATAGAAATCAGGAGCAACCCTACATGAGAACATGGTAGAGGGAGGACAGACGGAGGGATTATGTTGTAAAGCATTGTTACGATGTGCTGTATGAGGCAGTCCTTTCAACTAAGTCCTGAAATAAACATCACAACGTAACTGGACTGTATTCAAATGAAACTCTACGACTGTGCTTGGAATGAAACATTCCATTCCGCCAGAAGCTACAACTAACTGAAAAACAAGTTGTAGTAGTCTTCATACAACATATGCCGAGCTGAACATTTGGAAAATAAAAAATACTTCCTTAGAAAACAGATGTGATCATCAGACAAACATTCTCAAGTCTCAACCACGATGGACAAATCACTGAATCACACCATTTCAATGTCTGCTAAACTTCGTCATTGGCGAACTAAATCAGCACAACCCTGCTAGAGCTCCTAGTTGATCAGGCAACAGTGCGAGGCAGAAGTGGAGAGCGACTGTCCCGTGGATGGAAGTGTAGATGGAAGAGCCAGTAGCATTGTGTGTGAGATTTAACAACAGCACCTGAAACAGTAGTCTGTGTTGTCTCTGAGAGACCTTGCAGGAGAGAAAGAGCCAGGGCACAGCAGCACCAGTGTCTCTGCATCTGTGCTCATTTGGCCGCAGTTGAGCAGTTATGAGGTATAGTTGAGGAGAGGTTTGGGACGGCCCGAGGCAGAGGCCATGTCGAGGGGAGGGACATGGGACCTCACAAGGCCGGGGTCCATGTTCCCAGCTCTAGCAGTTGGACTCCTTTTCATTGACGGGGAAGTAGCCTTCCTTGGTGGGAGGGTGTCTCTGATGGAGGCTGTCCCCATCGGCAGCAAAGATGGCCAGCAGCTTCTCTTGCTCCTTCTTGGTTTTGGGTAAGTCAGTGGACGGTGTGGTCAGGATTGTAAAGCGCTACAGAACAACAGAGGAAATAGACGAGACAAGATTGGTTTGTTTTATTGGTTTTAATAGATTTCTAAATGACAGTAGCTTAAGCCCAAAAAATTGACAATAGCTAACAGAGAGAAAAGTCAGTGGGGGTAAGGAGTGAAAACAGTGGGTGGTGTGTGTGACTTACCTCTTTCAGGGTGCCTTCCACAGAACACATTTTGATCACCACCCAGAGGGGGACACAGAGCATGGAGGACAGGGCCAGGAGCCAGCCCAAGCCGTAGCCCCACCAGGGGTACACATACTCATTGTTGTACTTCAAAGGGGTGTACTTGATCAGAGAGAAGGCAAAGGTACCCTGCGGAGGTAGATAGAGTCCATCAGCTCTGTCTTCTTGACAGTCACTGCTTGCTATGTCCTAGGTTTATTTTTTTTTATTTTTTTTGCATTGATTTAAAAACAACAATAGTGACTTGCTTTCATTTGAGATCTTATCCTCTGTTTGAACCTTTACCACTTTCTAAAAAATCATAGTGAATTTGATAAGCCTTGCTGTACAATGGTAGATGCTTTTTCAATAGTAACCACCAGAGGGCACACTTCAATCAAGGGACAGTACAGGGTTTTAGTTCAAAAGAGAAATACTCACTAAGCAGGTAGCAGGAGTGAAGTACATCCAGCAGTATTTGATAATAGGTCCAGGACGGTAGCCAATCATGTCCTCAATGTTGTCATAGAAACGGTCAGCACCTACAGGAACAGCGATGAAAGAGAAGAATGATGAGGCAGGAGTCAGCAAGGGACAGATTTGTAAGGCATCTAACTGGTCGCTCAAAATAGTACAAGTCTCATCAAAAAGGTGTTCAAAATGGTCCAATAATATCACATTCAGTTAGCTGTTCCTCTCCCAGAGGCCCTTTCACTTCTACGGAGAGCAGACTACTGCTGGAGCCCAGAGGATGGATGAACAGTGCTTATGTCGTCAATGAAAATACCCCATTTGTCATGCTAATGCCCCCCCTCAACATATTCCCACATAACTTGGCTAAACACTCACCATAAATCCAAGCAATGCAAACAGTCTCAAAGACAGCCACAAAGAGCAGGCACATCCCACTGGCAGCATAGTAGTCAAAGAGTTGGAAGACGTACATGCCTCCCTGGAGAGAAACGTGTTACGTTATGGCAGGGCAGCTAGGGACACTCTCTCTGTTTTATCAAGGCCACACATAGAGCAACATGCAGATGCTAGAAAACATATTTGGCTCTTTTTGGGGAACATTCATTCTGTGCATTAAGTTTAGCCTCATACATACATTATACAGTGCCTTGCAAAAGTATTAGTCCCCCTTGGCGTTTTTCCTATTTTGTTGCACTACAACCTGTAATTTAAATGGATTTTTATTTGGATTTCATGTAATGGACATACACAAAAAAAGTGGTGCGTGCATATGTATTCACCCCCTTTGCTATGAAGCCCCTAAATAAGATCTGGTGCAACCAATTACCTTCAGAAGTCACATAATTAGTTAAATGAAGTCCACCTGTGTGCAATCTTAGTGTCACATGACCTGTCACATGGTCTCATTATATATACACCTGTTCTGAAAGGCCCCAGAGTCTGCAACACCACTAAGCAAGGGGCACCACCAAGCAAGCGGCACCATGAAGACCAAGGAGCTCTCCAAACAGGTCAGGGACAAAGTTGTGGAGAAGTACAGATCAGGGTTGGGTTGTAAATAAATATCAGAAACTTTGAACATCCCAAATCCATTATTAAAAAATGGAAAGAATATGGCACCACAACAAACCTGCCAAGAGAGGGCCACCCACCAAAACTCACGGGACCAGGTAAGGAGGGCATTAATCAGAGGCAACAAAGAGACCAAAGATAACCCTAAAGGAGCTGCAAAGCTCCACAGCGGAGATTGGAGTATCTGTCCATAGGGCCACTTTAAGCCGTACACTCCATAGAGCTGGGCTTTACAGAAGAGTGGCGAGAAAAAAAGCCATTGCTAAAGAAATAAAAAGGCAAACACATTTGGTGTTCGCCAAAAGGCATGTAGGAGACTCCCCAAACATATGGAAGAAGGTACTCTGGTCAGATGAGACTAAAATTGAGCTTTTTAGCCATCAAGGAAAACGCTATGTCTGGCACAATCCCAACACCTCTCATCACCCCGAGAACACCATCCCCACAGTGAAGCATGGTGGTGGCTGCATCATGCTGTGGGAATGTTTTTCATCGGCAGGGACTGGGAAACTGGTCAGAATTGAAGGAATGATGGATGGCGCTAAATACAGGGAAATTCTTGAGGGAAACCTGTTTCAGCTTCCAGAGATTTGAGACTGGGACGGAGGTTCACCTTCCAGCAGGACAACGACACTAAGCATACTGCTAAAGCAACACTTGAGTGGTTTAAGGGGAAACATTTAAATATCTTGGAATTGCTGTACACCAGCGGAACCTATCCAACTTGAAGGAGCTGGGGAAGTTTTGCCTTGAAGAATGGGCAAAAATCCCAGTGACTAGATGTGCCAAGCTTATAGAACATACCCCAAGAGACTTGCAGCTGTAATTGGGGGGGGGGGGGGGGGGGGGGGGGGGGGGGGGGGGTGAATAGTTATGCACGCTCAAGTTTTCTGTTTTTTTGTCTTATTTCTTGTTTGTTTCACAGTAACAAATATTTTGCATCTTCAAAGTGGTAGACATGTTGTGTAAATCAACTAATACAAATCCCCAGAAAATCCATGTTAATTCCAGGTTGTAAGGCAACAAAATAGGAAAAATGCCAAGGGGGGTGAATACTTTCGCAAGCCACTGTAGAGCATATATTAGAGGGGCTAAACTTCATACACAGAATGAAAGTTCCCCAAAAGGAGCTAAATGTATTCCTGATGTCTGTATCCTATGGCTATTTTTCTTAGCAACTGTAGTAACTTTCAATACATGTGACCAGAAACTCAAAGCCCTAAATTAAAGCCTTTGGGATTTCATTTTTGTTGAAGACAGGTGAAAGTTCCTGCCACTGTGCAGTTCTGAGACATGACCATAGGTAATTGGGGTCAGAGCAGAGAGTTGGGGTCAGAGCCATGGTCAGCCATTTTATCAGCTACCCTTGACCAATTGGAGTCCTAGGGGGCGCTGTGAACTGTGGCATACCTCGGTCAGCATTATGAGACCCATGAGGAAGGAGAAGATGGCCACCGCCAGGATGAAGAGCTCTCTGCGGTTCTTACGACGGAACGTTTTAGGGTACATGTCCACCATGGCCGTCACCAGACTCTCCACACACACAAACTACAGCAGGGGAGAGAACAGAGGGGATGCTGTGTTACTGATAAAGAAAAACACCATTGTGGACATTGTTAGGGGCAGAGTTTGCAAACATAGTATGTGTCTGTGTGTGTGTGTCTGTGTGTGTGTGTGTGTGTGTGTGTCAAATGGTTTGATGCAAAAAAACAAAAAACAAATTGAGAAACCTATCCAACCAAAAACATTGATATATTTACATTTTTGTCATTTAGCAGACGCTCTTATCCAGAGCAACTTACAGTAGTGGGTGCATACTTTTTCATACTGGTCCCCTGTGGGAATCGAACTCGCGAGACAGACAGACAGTCAGACAGACAGTCTGACAGACAGTCTGACAGACAGTCAGACAGATAGACAGACAGACAGACAGACAGACAGACAGACAGACAGACAGACAGACAGACAGACAGAGAGAGAGAGGAGAGAGAGAGAGAGAGAGAGAGAGAGAGAGAGAGAGAGACAGAGAGAGAGACAGAGACAGAGACAGAGACAGAGAGAGAGAGAGAGAGAGAGAGAGAGAGAGAGAGGAGAGAGAGAGAGAGAGAGAGAGAGAGAGAGAGAGAGCTGTTCTAGACTCACCTGGCTGTCCAGCCCTAGAAAGACGATCATGATGAAGAAGAAACAGGCCCAGAGAGGAGAGAAGGGCATCATAGACACAGCACGGGGGTACGCTATGAAGGCCAGACCAGGACCTGGGACACAGAGGGTTATAACATGTCATAGAGGAGTCATAACAGGTCATTACAGACTTGTCATCCCGCGAGCAGGACTTTGGATCCACATTGCAACAACGACCTCTACCCGACTGTATTCTAAACTACTAGGTGATCTTTGGATTCTCTGAACCTTGAAAGTTGACTTGTAAAGATTAACATGTCTAATCATCGAAAGGTCATCAAGTTCAAGGCGAGCAGGAACTGGCTATACGCGCGCCCTACTCTGCGCCGCCATCTTAAGCACCATTACGCACCATTAAGCTCCATTACAGCACTGTAAAGGGTTTTTCTCTTGAACAGTGTGGGAAATTTACAGTCAATAGCCGCTTACGTGGGGGTGGCGATTCTACTTTGACATACTCAAATATATTGTTGAAATTCAACAGATTATTCCATCTGACTGCACAAGCACATACATTTTTTAGAATTATGGAATAACATACATTCTTTCCCAATGATGATGTAGAAATTGACTGTCTAGAACGGTTTGTGTGTAATGCTCTTTTACAAGGACTACTAACCTGACTCTGCCACCTCTGAGATGGGCACATTTTGCTCATAAGACATGAAGCCCAGGATGGAAAAGATGGCAAAGCCAGCCACGAAACTGGTCCCACTGTTCAGGAAGCATAGCGACAAGCAATCTCTGTAAACCCAGAGAGGCAGTCGTCAGGAAGATGTAGACCATGATAACAGATACTGTATCACACACTAACCCCTTGAAAACTTCAAAGCAGAATCACTAAAATTGTACAACTTCAAAGCAGAAACAGATACTGTCACAATGCAGATCAAAATACAGAACTGATGGTTAGGTCATTAAGGTGTTAAACAGAACTGATAGTTAGGTAATTAGGGTGTTAAACAGAACTGATGGTTAGGTCATTAGGGTGTTAAACAGAACTGATGGTTAGGTCATTAGGGTGTTAAACTGAACTGATGGTTAGGTCATTAGGGTGTTAAACAGAACTGATGGTTAGGTCATTAGGGTGTTAAACAGAACTGATGGTTAGGTCATTAGGGTGTTAAACAGAACTGATGGTTAGGTCATTAGGGTGTAAAACAGAACTGATGGTTAGGTCATTAGAGTGTTAAACAGAACTGATGGTTAGGTCATTAGGGTGTTAAACAGAACTGATGGTTAGGTCATTAGGGTGTTAAACAGAACTGATGGTTAGGTCATTAGGGTGTAAAACAGAACAAATCACTTCTCTGTTTAATCTTATCAGAGACACTTCTGCTAATTGTTTCAAGAATCTCAGTATTTTATCTAAAGAGGTGAGGAAGGAGGTGGGGTGTAGAGTAGAGCAGATCACAGTACAGTACATCACAGTACAGTACAGTAGAGTAGAACAGATCACAGTACAGTACATCACAGTACAGTACAGTAGAGTAGAACAGATCACAGTACAGTACAGAAGAGTAGATCAGAGTACAGTACAGCATAGTACCGTACAGCAGAGTAGAGTACATTAGAGTAGACTGGGAGGTAGAGGTGTAAGTGTGTGTTTTGAGGTGAGCCCTGACCTGTAGCAGTTGTTGTTGTACTTGTTGTAGCTCCCCAGGGCAGTCAGACACCCCAGACAGATGGCATACGAGAAGAAGATCTGAGTCCCTGCATCCATCCATACCTAGAAAGAAGAGGGAGAAACCAAACAAACCAGCCTTTTAATTTGCTGGGAGAAATCATGGCATTGTTCCTGGCTGACACATTTACTTCTATGAAACACATTATAGAAAAACAGCTGTAAACCCCTACTGGTGAGACATTTTATGATCAAATAATGTCCCACACGCTCCTCACTCTGTGGTAAACACGGTCACCCCATTTCTCGTCACTTATGACGTCATCACCACCCACCATACCACCCCCCAGTAATCTCTGTCTATAGACCCCATACCCCCTCCTCAGTCCTAAGCCCACCCTCTCCACCCTGACAATGTCACTGGCACGCTGGTTCTCCATCTCTATGGCTCCTCAGCGCCAAGTGTGGTAATTTTCCACCACAGACTATGAACGACCAGCGCAACACAGTTCCAATTTGAATGAGGGTGCTCTTTGTTCCATTCGACAAAGTGGTGCTGAAGCAATGGGGGCACGTTTCAGTTGGCTGCCTGGCAGCCAGGAAGACTTCTGGCTACATCCCAAACGGCACCTTATTGCCTATGTAGTGCACTACTTTTGACCAGGGCCTATAGGCCACTAAGGCAGATGTTCCCATGATACAGACTTCTGTGGATTGAAGAGGGCACTCATTTCGTTTTCTGGTGTTACCCATACTGTAAGTGCCAAAATGGAGAAGTGATTGTAAAAAATCTCTCTTCTCGATCATAGGAGCTCAGAGAGAGAGCTCAGGCTCTCTGTCGGAGATAGAGAGAGTAGACTATCTCTCTATAGTAGAGATGAGAATATAGTATCTCTAAGTATCTATTTAGCTCTCTCTCTCTCTTAGCCGGCCTACTCATCTCTCTCGTGAATCTCTCTCCGTCTCTCTCTCGTCTAATTGTGTTGCTGTACCTGGACCAGATTTCTTAGGGGCCTCTTCTCTAGGCTCATCTCTCTGTAGGTGATGGGTTTGTTATGGAAGTTTTGGGAATTCCTTCCTTTTAGGTGGTTGTCTTTTTTGGATTTTGATAATTAGCAGGTATCGTACTAATTCTGCTCTGTATGCATTATTTGGTGTTTTACATTGTACACAGAGGATGTTTTTGCAGAATTCTGAATACAGAGTCTCAATTTGGTGTTTGTCCTATTTTGTGAATTCTTGGTTGGTGAGTGGACAACCATAACGGGCAATAGGTTATATAACGATTCAAGTATTTTTTAGACAGATCCTAATTGGGATGTCGAATTTTATGTTTCTTGCCTAGTCTCTCAGATCGTTCACAACTTTGTGGAAGTTACCTGTGGTGCTGATGTTTAGGCTGAGGTAGGTATAGTTTTCTGTGTGCTCTAGGGCAACGGTGTCTAGATGGAATTTGTATTTGTGGTCCTGGCAACTGGACCTTTTTTGGAACACTATTATTTTTGTCTTACTGACATTCACTATCAGGGCCCAGGTCTAACATAATCTGTGCAGAAGATCTAGGTGCTGGTGATCATCAGCAAACAGTAGATATTTTACTTCAGATTCTAGTAGGGTGAGGCCAGGTTCTGCAGAGTGTTCTAGTGCCCTCGCCAATTGATTGATATACTGTATACAGTTGAAGTCGGAAGTTTACATACACCTTAGCCAAATACATTTAAACTCAGTTTTTCACAATTCCTGACATTTAATCCTAGTAAAAATTCTTATTTTAAGAATGTGAAATGTCAGAATAATAGTAGAGAGAATGATTTATTTAAGCTTTTATTTCTTTTATCACATTCACAGTGGGTCAGAAGTTTACATACACTCAATTAGTATTTGGTAGCATTGCCTTTAAATTGTTTAACTTGGGTCAAATGTTTCGGGTAGCCTTCCACAAGCTTCCCACAATAAGTTGGGTGAATTTTGGCCCATTCCTCCTGACAGAGCTGTAACTGAGTCAGGTTAGTAGGCCTCCTTGCTCGCATCCGCTTTTTCAGTTCTGCCCACAAATTTTCTATAGGATTGAGGTCAGGGCTTTGTGATGGCCACTCCAATACCTTGACTTTGTTGTCCTTAAGCCATTTTGCCACAACTTTGGAAGTATGCTTGGGGTCATTGTCCATTTGGAAGACCCATTTGCGACCAAGCTTTAACTTCCTGACTGATGTCTTGAGATTTTGCTTTAATATATCCACATAATTTTCCTTCCTCATGATGTCATCTATTTTGTGAAGTGCACCAGTCCCTCCTGCAGCAATGCACCCCTACAGCATGATGCTGACACCCCCGTGCTTCACGGTTGGGATGGTGTTCTTTGGCTTGCAAGCTACCCCCTTTTTCCTCCAAACATAACGATGGTCATTATGGCCAAACAGTTCTATTTTTGTTTCATCAGACCAGAGGACATTTCTCCAAAAAGTACGATCTTTGTCCCGATGTGCAGTTGCAAACCATAGTCTGGCTTTTTTATGGCGATTTTGGAGCAGTGGCTTCTTCCTTGCTGAGCGGCCTTTCAGGTTATGTCGATATAGGACTTGTTTTACTGTGGATATAGATACTTTTGCACCTGTTTCGTCCAGCATCTTCACAAGGTCCTTTGCTGTTGTTCTGGGATTGATTTGCACTTTTCGCACCAAAGTACGTTCATCTCTAGGAGACAGAACACGTTTCCTTCCTTAGCTCGTATGACGGCTGCGTGGTCCCATGGTGTTTATACTTGTGTACTATTGTTTGTATAGATGAACGTGGTACCTTCAGGCGTTTGAAAATTGCTCCCAAGGATGAACCAGACTTGTGGAGGTCTACAATTCTTTTTCTGAGGTCTTGGCTGATTTCTTTTGATTTTCCCATGATGTCAAGCAAAGAGGCACTGAGTTTGAAGGTAGGCCTTGAAATACATCCGCAGGTACACCTCCAATTGACTCAAATTATGTCAATTAGCCTATCAGAAGCTTCTAAAGCCATGACATCATTTTCTGGAATTTTCCAAGCTGTTTAAAGGCACAGTCAACTTAGTGCATGTAAACTTCTGACCCACTGGAATTGTGATACAGTGAATTATAAGTTAAATAATCTGTCTGTAAACAATTGTTGGAAAAATGACTTGTGTCATGCACAAAGTAGATGTCCTAACCGACTTGCCAAAACTATAGTTTGTTAACAAGAAATGTGTGGAGTGGTTGAAAAACAAGTTTTAATGACTCCAACCTAAGTGTATGTAAACTTCCGACTTCAACTGTATGTTGAAGAGGGTGGGGCTCAAGCTGTATCCCTGTCTCACCCCACGGCCCTGTGGAAAGAAATGTGTGTTTTTTTGCCAATTTTAACCACACAGTTGTTGTTTGTGTACATGTATTTTATAATTTAATATGTTTTTGCCCCAACACCACTTTCCATCAAGACCCTCATGCCAAATTGAGTCAAAAGCTTTTTTGAAATCTACTACTGTTTCTGGTTCCAGTGGCATGCATTGAAACGCGTGGCCTTTCGTGGCTTTCTTTTGCAAATTACTCTGAATTAACAGACTTATTTCCTAAAACATAATATTAAGGTGTGGGACATTCATTGTGTGATAAGAAATAACTAGCAGTTCTATTATATAATATAATATGCCATTTAGCAGACGCTTTTATCCAAAGCGACTTACAGTCATAGGTGCATATTTTTTTTGGTGTATGTGTGGTCCCGGGGATCGAACCCACTACCTTGGCGTTACAAGCACCGTGCTCTACCAGCTGAGCTACAGAGGACCACACTATTATGCTCCCACAGTATGTCCGTCCACAATTCAACTGTGGGAAAATGGCAGCTTTCAACAACAGACAACAGAAAGAGTTGGCCGCTACTATACAAGAGATTGTTTGTGAGGAGATTACCTCTGCCCTCGACATACAATTAAAACCCATAAATGAATCATTGGCAGTGCTCACTGCTAAAGTGGGTACCTATTCAACCAAAGTGGAAATCTGGAGAAGACAGCCAATGCAACAGAGGTGCGACTCCATAACCTGGAAACAGTGCAAGCTAAGTTGGAAGGGATAATCTAACTCCTAAAAGAGAAAACGGAATCACTCGAAAATCATTCCCGTAAATTCAATGTGCGGATCACAGGACTTGAAACTGGCGTGGAACTTCCTTCATGAGCAATCTTTTCTATGAACTGTATGGGCAGGAGCTGCTGGGTCCCATGCCGCTGATTAACATTGCGCATTGCACAGGTCAACTCCGCAACGGCTCTCGTTATATGATTGTTCGGATCCACAGCTTTGAAGTCAAGCGGCAAATTGTTCGTCTTGCAGTGGAATCCGGGGGCTGACCTATGCGGAGAAGAGGATCAGCATCTACCCAGACCTGAGTGCCGAACAGCTAAAACAGAGGGAGACCTGCAACGAGGTGAGATCCAAGCTATGCAAGCTAAACCTGAGATGAGGTTTCATCCATCAAGCAAAACTCATCTTGACCTTCCAGAACACAACACACGTTTTCCACTGCCAAGGAAGCTCAAGACTTCTTCGAGAAGCACATCAAACCCAACACACAAGGGGAAAAGCCAACAGATGGAACCCCATGACTGGCCCTTTATTCTGGTATGCTATCCATGCACAATCATGCTGCCTAGCCTATGGTTATAATTGGATGCCGCCCTCAGCATAAGACAATGATGAGGAGACCTCTCATGTTTGGGTATAAGGAACAATACTACTATTATTGCTGAGTATTGAACTTGTTATAATTCTATTGCCTATGGTCCAGGATATTTACATAGTGATGACACCATGCCAATTAATGAACAATGGACAATATATGGATCCTACAGCTATCCTATTTTTGACTGTTTAGACAATAGGCTTGCATATCTGTCATATCTTCTTCTTGTTTTCATTTTCATCATTTTTTCTTCATTAACCACCCTTACTCATCAAGTCTGCTAACTTCATTGTAAAGGTCTGAATTAGTGACTTATTTAGTTTTACTTTATTATTATTATATAGTTTTTATGAATACCTTAATACCGAAAATATGCTGCTTAAGGAATTTCATATATAAGGCTGCCACTCGCCGTTATACTACAACCCTGTAATTATAGTGCAGGGAACCGGGGAGGGGGGGCTGGAGGCCAGGGAGGAGGGAGGCGGGGGGGAAGGGGGAATGGTTTATAGATAGGGTCTTCTGGGTGGGGAGCGACCAATGGGTGGGTTTCCCTGTGGGGCCTGCTTTTTATTTTACATCCATGGGCTTATCAACACTAAAGATGACAATTACATTTTAGAAAAACAATGGCAACACTAACTATTCTCTTGTGGAATTTGAAAGGGCTTAATATTCCTATCAAATGTTCCAGCTGTCATGATATTCTAGCAAGAAACCATATTGACATAGCAATGCTCCAAGAAAC